GTGCCTGGCTCATAGGGGGCCATCAATAAATAGGTAGTTGTCAGATGGAAGAATGAATAGATCTTATAAACCTGCTTTCCTGATCCAGAAGATCCCCCAACATTATTTTTAATATGGTCATGAATCCTTTGCCTATCTCAATGAGCAACTTTCTGTCTCTTAAAGTGGTTTAATTTTTTATTATAATAATGAGAATAATATATAAGTAGAAGCATTATATTTCTTTTATTGAAACAAAATCTGCTTTCCTGTAACTTTCTCCAGTTGTCTATCATTCTTCCCATTGAAACTATAGAGTAAATCTAATTGCGCTTTAAAAGAAAACTCTTTAAATTAAAAAAAATTGCTTCTTTTTAAAATGGAGATCACACTATGTTGCTCAGGCTGGCCTGCAGCTCCTGGGGTCAAACAATTCTGCCACCTCAGCCTCCTGAGTAGCTGGACTACAGGCATGTGCCACTGTACCTGGCTCCTAATTGCTATTTTATGATATTACTAAAAATATCCAGGGACAGGGATCATAGTAATTTCAGTCCTCTCTGAACATGCTTAGAAACTTCAGCTGTGATGTGTTCCAGAGCCTTATCCTTCTGGTCACCTGCCTTTGGGCTTTCTTTTCTTGGTCATTGACTTTCATAAAATATGCCTCCTATAGCGTATTTTCTGCTGAATAATCTTTGTTGAATACAGTGGGCTTTTACATTATCTTAAATGATCCTTCTTTTAAAGCAGACTAACATTGTATCACCTTTTTTGGCCATTTTGTAGTTAGTCCATATTGAGCCTGCAGTGAAGTAAACTTCATTTTTTCTTAATCTGCACATAAAATATTTTCAGTGTTTCCTCATTATGTACATTAATAATTATTCTGTCTCTATTAAAATTTATTTTTGCTGGTTTCTACCCTGCCATTTTCTCATTTAACTAATAGTTATTCTCCTAGTTCTACATTTAGCAGTTAATACTAGTTTACTGGTAGTAATATCAAGTAATTGCTAGGTAAGTATAATTTTACATCGTAATTCACATCATTAATAAATTAGTAACAAGGCAGAATCTCTGGCTGCCCTGAGCAGACCATTAAAGACCAGAGGAAGTGGCTTTAAGAACAAATTTGAAAGGAAAGTGAATTTTATGTATTTTTTTAAATTTATAAAATCAGAATTTTTGTTATTTGACTGTCATCTAAAGAATGAGGAAGAATTTGTTATAATGTAGGAACAGGAATGAACAGTTTTTTAAGACAGAGAAGTCTAGTTTGTGTGCACAAACCTGAAGGGAAAAGATGGTTATAGACACTTTGAAAACTCTCAGGAGTCCATTGTGGCCAAGTTAGAGAATAAAGTACCAGAGAGATACTCTGGGCAGAGAGAAATGAAGCTGGAAAAGTAAACAGGTGCCGTAGTGTTCAGAGCCTTGCATGTGAATTCTGGCAGGGACCTTGAAAAAGCACTTAACCTCGCAGACGTGGTTTTCTTATTGCCCGGTAGAAGGATACACTGGGTTGAGTGCAGTGGTTCACACCTAGTGAGTACTTTGGGAGGCCAAGGCCAGAGGATTGCTTGAGTGTAGGAGTTTCAGACCAGCTTGGGCAACATAGTGAGATGTCTCTACTAAAAAATAAAAAAATTTAGCTGGCTGTGATGATGCATGCCTGTAGTCTCGGCTACCTGGGAGGCTGAGGCAGGAGGATTCCTTCAGCTCAGGAGTTAGAGGTTGCAGTGAGCTGTTATTGTGCCACTGAACTCCAGCCTGGGCAATGGAGCAAGATGCTGTCTGAAAAAAAAAAAAAAAAAAAAGAGATAAAATGAAACCTGCCTTGCCATGGCAGTAGAGTTGAAGGGGGTACTGCTCCTAGCTCCTCACATATAAGGGTCTCAAAACATATTTACAAATAATTTTAAATATTCTTTATCTGGTGAATGAAATTGTCATTGGACCATGGAATAAAAAGAATAAGTTGACTAAAGATTTTTTAACAGCCAAATATTATAATTTATTAATTATTTTTCTCAATTGGCCAAAATTTTAAAGGCATTGTGAAAATCTGTTGAGTTAGAGTTTTTTTTGGTTATTTTATTACTCAGTATTTAAGTTTGAAAAGCCAGAAGACTGGTGTTAGAGGTTATGAAACCTTTTATCCTGCTTGATATGAACGGGATGCTTCTAATTAATTGTGTAGAGATGGCTTTGCAAATGCATGTATAGGTAATTATCTTTGTGAGTAGTCTGGAAAAATTTGGTATAGTTTTAAGACCATCATTTTGTGTTTTCTCCTAGTTTTGTAAATTTAAATAGAAAACATATGCATATCAGTTCTATAGATTTGTAACTTACAGCTACATATAATTATTGTAAAACTAATGCTTTTATAAAATACTAGAAAATAAAAAGGTGGATTCATGCCACCCAAGCTAACTGCTAACATTTTAGAAAATTTCCTTCCTATCTTTCTGTATTTGCATATGATCATTTCAAACACAGATTTTTTTTAATTGTAAAAGTAGGACATTTTAATGACTTTTTTTTTTATTTTTAAAGAAGTGGGTGGTAAAAGTTGACCCTCTTCTCTACCCTTTCGCCACTTCCCAGAGGTAGTCTTTATAGCTGCTTTTCTTCTTTGTATTCACATAGCTTCCAGTGAGCCTGACTCATGGCAATCTGGAGTCAGGATGTAGCTAATATATTCAGTAGATATTAGTTGCATTAAACTTCTTTATATCGATCTCATTTAATTGTTGATATGAGTAAAAAGTTAAAAAGCATGATTCTGGTTAAAATTTAATCAAGTTATGATTTTATCTACTATTTAATCATTCATTATGTCCTCAGTTTGATACTAATTGGTATCACTACAGTTGCTGACTATGGTTCCTAGTACTTTTTGCACTTGTTAGCTTTGGCTGACATGGAGTAGATTTGCAGTGAACTGATTTACAGTACTTGCTGATTTTGTCCAGACCTTTCACTGAAATATTCTAACTGTGACTTTTAGTTTGCAGCACAGATGTAAAATTGCTCTGTTGTATGTACCATCTTGTTTTATAACTTTATAACAGGATGACTTTGGGGGTACATAAAATTAACAAATAAATTTAAATTATCTTATCAGGGTTCATGATACTTTCCCTTAAAAGGCATATTTAGGTAGTCTTCAGATTTGATAAATGAATGCTAGGGGTTTTAGATTAGGAGCCAAATGTATCTTTTCTATTTCTTTTCTTCATTATACCAAGGCTTCACTGATGTATATAGACATACAGATGGCTAGGTTATCTACTAAAGTAGAGATGTAATCTTTAGTTAGTTCTAGAAACATAACTTGGGTGTCTGTGATTCAGCCATGTACAGTGCTAGGCAATGGGATTAAAAACATTGAATAAGACACAGTTTTTTCCTTTGACTTTGCAGTTAATTTTTATCCTTTTTGGTTTTTCTATAGAATTGAATACTGAAAAAGCATAGACTAGGAAGTTTGGAGGAAGTGGAGAAAGGAGCAGGAAGTAGTTTGAAGTGCTTTAGTGAACTATAAATAGAATCAAAGTGAAGAATGGATATAACAGAGGAGCCCGTTGATCTCCTCAACCCTGGACTCTTACGGGGCATGTGACTTGTTGCAAGAATGAACCGAATCTATGCTGAATGCATTCTTCTAAGAAAGTTTTTGTAAATCAGTACATTTATTATTAAACATACCTAGAAACTTATTTTGGACCAACGATATGATTGGCAAGCAAAGTATCTTCTACAAACAGAGAAATGAAGGGATAAGGACAGTTGCCCTTTAAACAGGAAGGTCTTGTCTTACAAACTCAAATGCATTTGAGATGAATAACCCTGTTTATATACATGTCATGACTTCCACTGGTTTTGCAAGACCTCATTTGATGATCTAAGTACATGTGATCATTCTTCACTGAGAAATGCCTATGGCACCTTTTTTGTTTGTTTTTAATTTCAAAATTTCAGATGTTAGGCCAGCAAATACTATAATGTGTTCTTGAGGTAAGATACAGTGATGCATTTTTAATATGATTTTTGTTTCCTCTATTCCTTTTTTCTGTCATCTAACACTTATTTTGTAATGATGTATTTTAAAAAATTATCAGCTTCTTTCAATATAAAGTTATTAATTTATTGTGAAAATGACATCATTCTCATTTTTTCTCTATGTGATAGATTAAGGTCTGACATTTTATTTTCCTGGGACATCTTAAGAATTGTAGACAAGCACTAATCTTTTGTTACAGTTATTTTGCCAGATATAAGGGAGGCAATGAAGTTAAGTAGGTTTCATTGTGTAGTAGAGGTCAGGAAGCCAGTAGTTTACTTCCTATATCAAGCATTTTCTATTGTTCATACAATGCATTAGATGCATTTTTGGCTTATATTACTCTTTGCTCATTGATACAGTTCATGGCCATCCATCTATCTTTAAACTTCAGACATCATTTTTGGTAAATAGGATAAACTATGTTGATTTTCTGATAAAATATTTATTTACTGTAACTTAAATGCCTCTCCTTAAAAACCAAGTGCTGGAAATGAGTTTAGCATATCAACCAAGCCAACTTGTGTGTATTTGATGAAGTCCAGGCTTATTAAATTCAATTCCAAAGAAATGGAGTTTGAAAAAAGAGGTTTTATTTCACGTTATTAATTTTAAATGTTTTTTATGTGCTATAAATAAATGGCTATTTCTTCTCACCCTATTCGTAGAAAATCTGCTTTACTACATTCTTCCCCCTAGTTTTATTAAAGTGTAATTGACAAAAATTGTACATATTTAGAGTGTACATTGTGGTGTTTTGATATGTGCTGCTTTACTGCATTCCTACTGAATGTTGGTTACATTTGTATTTTATCCCCTTGTATGTATTAGATACAGAGTACATGTTTGTTGATCATTTCCCTTTTAACACTATGTATAGTATACTAGTTTTCTTTTACCAACTAACGTTCCATTTTTTTTTTTTTTCTTTCTTTCTTTCTTTTACCAGTTTCTCAAACAATTAGGTCTGCATCCTAACTGGCAATTCGTCGATGTATATGGAATGGATCCTGAACTCCTTAGCATGGTACCAAGACCAGTCTGCGCAGTATTACTTCTCTTTCCTATTACAGAAAAGGTAATTGTTAAGTAAAATAGAAAGTTTCTGGTAAATACAATTTTTGTTTTTGTCTATCTTATTTTTTGAGCCAGGATCTCACTCTGTTGCCTAGGCTGGAGTGCGGAGATGTAATCATGGCTTACTGCAGTCTCAACTTCCCAGGCTCAAGCTATCCTCCTACCTTAGCCTTTCGAGTAGCTGGGACCACAGGCATGTTCCACCACACCTAGCTAATGCTTGTATTTTAATTTTGTAGAGCAGGGCCTCACTGTGTTGCCTGGGCTGGTCTCCAACTCGGACTCAAGTGATCCTCCTGCGTCGGTCTCCCAAAGTGCTGGGCTTATAGGCATGAGCCACTGTGCCCAGCCCAATTTCTTTTTCTCCTTTTTTTTAATTTACAAAGTTTTTGATAAATACAATATTTAAGAACAAATGATCCCCTTCTTGCATAAAATTAGGCAATCTAGGCAGTGAAGAAATCTTAAAAATGTTTTTATTAAAGAGATGATATTTAGATTTTGATGACAGTAAAGTCCTAGGTTAGTGCTTTAAGCTTGGGTAGTTTTCTTCTTTTATAAAATTTTGTTTGCCTCAGCTGTGTTTTGATGTCACATGTAATCGCATTGTGATTTATATATTTTAGAAATTTTAAATACTAGAATAAACTTAAATACAGTTTTTTCAATACAAATAAAAAAGGAATCTCCTTTGCCTATTTTAAGTTGGTAGGAGAAACTGATACCGTGGGTTACATTACTTTCAAAATAAACTTGAATGGGAATCACTAAGCTTAAATACATTTTAATTGGCAGATTTAGGGTGTGTTGGGGATTATAAAAAGCTATTCCCAGCACTTTGGGAGGCCGAGACGGGCGGATCACAAGGTCAGGAGATCGAGACCATCCTGGCGAACACAGTGAAACCCCGTCTCTACTAAAAAATACAAAAAACTAGCCGGGCGAGGTGGCGGGCGCCTGTAGTCCCAGCTACTCGGGAGGCTGAGGCAGGAGAATGGCGTAAACCTGGGAGGCGGAGCTTGTAGTGAGCCGAGTTCGTGCCACTGCACTCCAGCCCGGGCAACAGAGCAAAGACTCCGTCTCAAAAAAAAAAAAAAAAAAAAATTGTAGTGAGCCGAGTTCGTGCCACTGCACTCCAGCCCGGCAACAGAGCAAAAGACTCCGTCTCAAAAAAAAAAAAAAAAGCCCATTCTTGAGCCTTGCATTAAATTCAAGTCTGTATATTTTTAGTCCTTTTTTCTAGAATGATGTGTGTGTATGTCTTCTTGTGTGTGTGTATATGTATATGTATTATACATATACATATATGTGTGTACATATACACACATACGCACATATATATGCATAGGGAGCCAGAACTTTTGAGTGCATTTTATAATAGATTTTGAGGCTATATCCTTCTGATTTTTATTTTTGAAATTAGAAACAGTAGGATGATTGCAGTAGTTATGAAAAAATGAAGTAAGTGGGACGATGTGAGAGAAATATGTTGATGATTTGACATATTTGTGCTCAGGTCATCCTACTCTTCAGGACTAAATGGAGCCAAATCCCACAGGATTTAAGACTTAGACTTTGCTTAGTCCTGGAAATTCCTGGATCATTTTCTTTATGCCATAACAAATTAGCCTCAATTCAAGGTAAATTAAATAACATTGAAAATTTTCTCTCTTCTACTTAAGGGTTCTACAAAACAAATTATTCAGTAAAAGAAATGGTATTTCTTTGCATTTGCTATTCATAATAGAGAAATTTGGAGTTAGGAATTTCTTAGTGATTGTCTAGTATTAGACCAAACCTCTACACAATGGTAAGGTTATGATTATTGACATTTATAGAAGAGTTAAGACAAGAACTTAAGTTTACTCTCTTTTAATCCAATGTTATTTTTACCTTTTTTTGATTACAAAAATAAGCCAACAGATAACTATCCCAGGACCCCAATTGTAACGAACAGTAAATAATTGAAAAAAAATCAGTTGCCTAAAGCTTAGGGTTTCTTAGCTGATGTGATACAAATAGTAGTTTTTTGTCTGAATTGGAAATTTCCAAACCGTTGGTTTTTTATGACATTTTTTGTAAAAAATAAATTAGATTTGATCTCTTTCAGTTAGTGAGTCATCAGTATTAAAAAGGCGTATTATCCTTATTAATAGGATTTAATTTAGTAGATTATCAGAGCTAAAAAACTTTCAACTCCCTGTTGAAAGGTAGAACACAGTTCTAAAGTATTGCATAAGTAAATTTGTACTTACATAAGTAGAAAATTTATGTAAGTAAATATATAAGTAAGCATAAATACTTTACTTATATAATTATAATAACATATAAGTAGAGAATATAAATAGCATGTACCACTTTTAGATGTCTTACAGTTTTGTAGATCCTTATTTCAGCTTATAGGTGATATATTGCAAAGTTATTAAGAGTCTATCTAGTGCATTCTTTAGGAGCTGCAAAGTATTTGTCTTTGAAGTTCCAATTTAAAAATTGAATATGTAGTTGTGAATGACTTAAGCAAAGGAACTGTCATGGGTACCTCATTACCCTTTATGTATGTATGTATGTATGGTATGTATGTATATATTATTTTCTGAGACAGCATCTCTCTCTGTTGCCCAGGCTGGAGTGCAGTGGTGCGATCTCGGCTCACTGCAACCCATGCCTTCCAGGTACAAGTGATTCTCCTGCCTCAGCCTCTGGAGTAACTGGGATTTCAGACATGTGCCACCATACCTGGCTAATTTTTTATATTTTTAGTGTAGACAGGATTTCACCATGTTGGTCAGGCTGGTCTCAAACTCCTGACTTTGAATGATTTGCCCACCTTGGCCTCCCCGAGTGCTGGGATTATAGGTGTGACTTATTACCCTTTAAAGTCAATCATGGTGGGTTTTTAAAAATAAATTTTATTATGTGTATTTGAAGTTTACAACATGATATAGGATTCATATACATACTAAAATAGTTACAATAGTGAAGCAGATTAACATGTCTATCATCACATAGTTACTTTTTTTGTGACGAGCAGCTAAAATCTACTTATTCAACAAAAATCTCTAATGCAATATAATTTTATTAACTAGTCTTCATGTTGTACATAAGATCTCTAGACTTGTTACTTGTTTTTCCTACACATCTGCTATTTTGTGTCCTTTGACCTACATCACATCACCTCCCCGCCAACTTCTGTTTCATTCTCTATGTGTATTTGACCTTTTTTAAAAAAAAAAAAATTCCACGTATCAGTGATATTATACAATATTTTTCTTTCTGTGTCTGGCTTATTTCACTTAGTATAATGTCCTTCAGGTTCATCCATGTAGCAAATGCTAGGATCTCCTTTTTTTAAGGCTGAATAATATTTCTGTGTGTGTGTGTGTGTGTATATGTGTGTATGTGTGTCTATATGTATACCACTTTTTCTCCCAACCAAGTACTAACCAGGTCCAACCCTGCTTAACTTCTGAGATCAGACGGGATTGGGTACATTTGGGGTAGTATGGTCGTAGACTATACCATGTTCTTATCCATTTAACCATCTGTGGACGTTTGGGTTGTTTCCATATCTTGGCTATCGTGAGTAATGCTGCAGTGAACATGGAAGTGCGGATATCTTTACAAGGTAGAGATTCATCTCCTTTACAAGGTGATTCGTCTCCTTTGGATATGAATTGCTGAGTCATATGGTAGTCTATTGTTAATTTCTTTAGAAATCTCCATACTGTTTTTCATAATGGCTGTACCAATCTGTATTCCGACCAACAGTGCACTTGGGTTCCCTTTTCTCCATGCCCTCACCAACATTTATTATCTCTTTTTGATAATTGCCATCAATGATAGTGGGTTTTTTTTTTTTAATTATTGTTGTTGTTACAGAGACAGAGTCTTACTCTGTTGCCCAGGCTGTAGTGCAGTGGTGCGATCTCAGCTCACTGCAACCTTTGCTTCCTGGGTTCAAGCAATTCTTATGACTCAGTCTCTGGAGTAGCTGGGATTACAGGCATGTGCTGCCACACCTGGCTAATTTTTATATCTTTAGTGGAGACGGTGTTTCACTGTGTTAGCCTGGCTGGTCTTAAACTCCTAACCTCAGATAATCCACCTGCATCAGCCTCCCAAAATGCTGGAATTACAGATGTGAGCTACCGTGCCCGGCCAGTGATAGTGTTTTGAATATGTTCTTTGTGATAGTGCAGTCCAGCCAGTAAATCATAGGCAAAGAGGCTATAAATTTATTTCTCTCTGATGTTTATGTCTCTTGGCCTTAATATTTTTTACTTTTTGATCTATAATTTCTTTTTTTTCCTTTACTTGCTTTGTATCATTTTAGGACTTTTTTCCTACACATTACATCTTGAAATTATCAAATCTTACTTTGCTTTGTCATCAGGAACATTAACAACAGACTAAGCTGTAGAACTGTAAACTTTTCAGCGTGAGATCATAATATACTGAATCTTTCTAGTTTTTTTATCAAACTTACTTTTCATTCTGAAAATGTTACTTGAAATGTAATTTAGAAGCACAGCAATAAAATTCATATTTTGAACATAGATACATTTGTTGTTAGAAGCAGTTTATTATTTTTTTCTCCCATAGGCAAGAGGTAAAAGAAGCAGTTTCTTAACTACTTGTAGGTTTTCTATAGACATTGTCTGTTTCTTTTATTGCAGGGGATCAGGAAAATATTTCTGTAAGACTAGATAGTAAATATTTTCAGCTTTGCAGGCCTTAAAGTCTCTGTTGCAACTATTTGACTTTGCCTTGTAAACAGCCATAGACAATACATAATGAAATTTTACTTAAGAAAAGAGGCAGTGGGCCCGATTTGGCCTGTAGTCTGTCATTTGCTGACCCTGTTCTATTAGAAGCAGAAAGTTATGGGAAAACTATAAACAAAACAATAAAATCATCTTTCTCCTCCCCACCTCACCAATTTTTTAACCTTTTTGCTATTTTTTACTCTTTCTTACTGTTAGGAAACTGAGATACAGAGACATTAAGTAATTTGCTAAAGTCACACAGCTAATAACAGCTGAGTCAGGATGTAGGCCCAGGCAGTCAGCTGTAGAGCCCACATTTTTGATGCTTATTATTATACCCTATTGTTTTTATAACCAGTTATTATAGATAATGGTTAGTGTCAGTTACAGATTATATAATGTGAATTTTATAAATATACTATGATTTTCCAAAAGGAAAAATATTTTTGCCAATGATAAACAATATAGAAATGTAACAATTAGCAAATAAAAGTTCTCCAGTAATCTCTTGGCCCAAAGATAACCTCTATTAAGTTTTTGCATACCCTTTCAGACTTTCCAATGTGTATATACGTATTTTAAAAACATAAATGGGAATTGTTATTAATACATACTGGCCTATAACCACACTTAGTTGTGGACAAAGTTCTAAATCAGAATATGTAAATCTAGTGTGCTTTATAGTATTCTGATATGCCATAATATATGTTAACCAAATCTCCATTGATGGATATTTAGAGTTTTTTCCAGTTTTGTGCTCTTAGAACTATATATATCATTTTAAAGATTATGTCTTAGACCAATTACCTACAAAGGAAATTGCTTATTGGAGTGTATGAGAATTTAAAATATTAATACATATTGCCATATGCCCAGTAACATGATTGTACAAATATATACTTTTAATAATAGCATAGGAGAATGCCTTTTTGCCCATACCTTCACCATCACTGGCTACTGCTATTCATTTTTCAATCTTTTATCAGTCTGGTAGGTGATAAATTAATTATTTTAAACTCTTTTATAAAAATATTTTTTATCATCTATATTTTTTCTTTTACAGTCTGAGTTTTTTAATGTTATTTTCCACATATACACTATTGACTTTTTTTTTTTTTTTTTTTAACAGTATGAAGTATTCAGAACAGAAGAGGAAGAAAAAATAAAATCTCAGGGACAAGCTGTTACATCATCAGTATATTTCATGAAGCAAACGATCAGCAATGCCTGTGGAACAATTGGACTGATTCATGCTATTGCAAACAATAAAGACAAGATGCACTTTGGTAAATGATTTTTCATTACTGCATTTTTTTTTGCCCTTAATATATAAGTTACTTTCATTGAGCAGTAGGTGGTGCTCTAATTCTTTCTTCAAACTATAAAATAAAGCATTCCCTGCTTCTTTTATGATGGGAATGTATACACTGTTAGAAGAAATATTAATCCTTCTCATTCTTTTATATTGTTGACTAATAGAGGTTAAACAAATGAACAAATATTAATAATGTAAGGCTTATCATTTATAACATGATCCTTACATTTCTAACTTACCAGTGAAATAATTTAACCTGAAGAATAGTAGAAAATAGCATACTTCTAGTATTTTCATATATTGGTCTCTCTGCTGTATCAAGCCTTTTTAATTTTATCTTCTTTCATATTCCCAGAATCTGGATCAACCTTGAAAAAATTCCTGGAGGAATCTGTATCAATGAGCCCTGAAGAACGAGCCAGATACCTGGAGAACTATGATGTCGGTACCTTCTTTCTGTTTTGATCTCATATGTGGACAAAGTTTTGTGGGATTGTAGATGTGTTTGGGGGTTTTGTCTTGAAACCATAGTTTTGAGCAATTATGGATTTTATTGTATCCATTAAGAAAAGCCTTTTGTACTTTTCAGATAACTTTGAAATATCCATAAATGCTGATAAGTTGACATTTCTTTTCTATGTTCAGAGCTGACTTAATGGATAAAAGCAGTTTGATTTACAAATTTTTTTTTTTTTTTTTTTTGAAATGGAGTCTCGCTCTGCCTCCCTGGCTAGAGTGCGGCAGTGCCATCTCTGCTCACTGCAAGCTATGCCTCCTGGGTTCAAGCAATTCTTGTGCCTCAGCCTCCTGAGTAGCTAGGATTTCAGGTGCTTGGCACCACACCTGGCTAGTTTTTCTATTTTTAGTAGAGACAGGGTTTTGCCATGTTGGTTAGGCTGGTCTCGAACCCCTGGCCTCAAGCAGTACCTCCACCTCGGCCTCCCAAAGTGCTGGGATTACAGACATGAGCCACCGTGCCTGGCCCTGATTTACAAGTTAATAAAATATCTTATGATTGACTATTCCTTACCATTCCCTCCCTAAAATAAATATATACCTGCCAGTACCCTATGTATCTTTTATTGGGAATTTGGAACAAGGCTGAAGATGAAAGGAAAAAGCAAAGGTTTAAAGGTAGATGTTAGACCATACTGTGGCTATTTTATCAATGTAATAACCAGGTCACATAAACTAGGGTGTATATATAATATAGATTATATTTAATTCAGGTGATAGTGATTGTACCACTTCATATAACTGTTCTGAAATTGTTTTTAAAATTTATTACTTTTGGAATCAATTTTTCTTTTGAAATCTTTTGACTTTTTAATAACATTATTAAATAGATTATAAATTCTTTGAAATTAGGCATATAGTCTACAAATTATTTGTCTAGAATAATGCTTTATTTAGAATTTGTGCCTGATAAATTAATTGGTTTGATTATGTTTTTATGCATTCCAATATACTTTGAGAATTTTAAATTGTTTTTTTCTTTTAAAAAAACTGGAGACTTCATAAAACATCTTTATTATACATAAAAATTAACAACATGAAAATCAGTAACCTTACTAATGAGAGGTAGATAAACATTAATATTTTTTAGGGAGTGTATGTATATACACAGTTTTTTAAACAAGAATTTGATCATACTGTAATACTGTTTTATAACTTGCTTTTTTCACTTATCACAAACGTATTACATACCAGTAAGTATATATTTGATATTATTTAATGGCTGCATAGTTTCCATTATGTAGTATTGTATTTCACCAATAAATTATTGTTAGAAATTTAATAGTTTTTCTTCTTTTTCACTATTTTAATAACTACTGCAAGGTGCATCATTGTTGCTAAATCTTCGTAAATATCCTTAATTATATATAATTATGTATAATTATATGTAAATATATAAACTCCTAGAAGAGAAATTGCTGGATCAAATAGTTTGCATGTTTTTAAGGCTTGGATATTTATTTATTGCCAAATTGCTGTTTATAAAGATTGTACTTTCACCTGTAATTTACTATTGTGCCCATTTCTCTGGATGTTTGCAAATAGTGGGTACTGTAAGAGTGGTTTATTTTTTAGTTCAGGAAACTAAATTCTGTAGCTTCTGATAAATGCATGAGTTGTGCTCCACATTTCTCAATTGCTGACTGAAACTGCATGATTAAGCATAAATACAGCCAGAGCTGCAGAGGAGCATGGAACCTGGAGAAACAGATGAGATAAGCTTCTTTAGTCTCTATCTGTGAAATGCTTACTTTATTCTAGTCTCAGTTGAATAAAGTGTTAAGTGTTAGTTCTAACAACTGAATAAGTTAAATGGCCCCTACTTACAGCCTGGAAATTACAAATAATCAGATATTCAATTTCCTAAGTTTTCAGAGATTTGTGGGTTACACAGTACAGTAATTCATTTGATTACCCAGATACCATTCTTAAATATCTAGTACTAAGCTGTTCTTAAATTTCCTTCAGTTTGTTGTTTCTTTTAGAAGACTTTAGGGGTTAAAATTTAGCTTTGTTGTTTTCATTTAAAAAGTTGGGTATAGTCATTTTTTTCCAATGAATACCTTTATTCTTATTACAGGCCATCCGAGTTACTCATGAGACCAGTGCCCATGAAGGTCAGACTGAGGTATTTCACATTTTTTCTAAATTTTTCTTGCTATGTGTAAATTTAACCATAGTGTTATTATTATAGGACATACAGTTTTAGATAGTTACCTGGCTTTTTCTTTTTTCCTTTGAGAGAATTTGCTTAAGCAAAAGCAGTCATAAAGTAGCAAACGAACATGTTTTGACAAGCTGTTAAGATGCTGCTGTCTGCTGTTTCAGTTCATCTATTTAGAGATAATGCAGATTGTGTGCTGTTTGTGCCGCTTACACGGTGGCCTGTGTCTTCCCTATCAGATTCCTTTGACTTCCAACTATTTTGAGACAAATACCTGCACTATTGTACGGTTCAATAACCTGTGTCTTTATTATGTCCTGCTTCCAGCAGAAAACCACATCATTTTCTTTGCTCAATAAATTTGTTTGAGGGTAAAGTAATGATCTTTACCATCTTTACCCTGTTAGCTAGTTCAGCTGGGTTGCTTTTCCTTTCCTTCTCTTGCCTCTTGTTTTATTTATTGGTTTCTTTCGTTTTTCCTTCCATCTTTTCTTTCTTGCCTTCCCTCCAGCCCTGGCTCTGTCACTCTAAGAGGAAGTTTGCCAGAAGGTATTTTAGTCAACAATAATTTAAAGCTGTTTGGTATGTTTATAGCACATTTAAGGGTTAATACTAGAGAATTAGAGGTTTTCTTCTTTCTTATCCCATATGTGACTCGGAACCCCATTTTTTTTTTGTGAGACGGAGTCTCACTCAGTCGCCCAGGCTGGAGTGCAGTGGCACGATTTCGGCTCACTGCAAGCTCCGCCTCCCGGGTTCACGCCTTTCTCCTGCCTCAGCCTCCCGAGTAGCTGGGACTACAGGCACCCGCCAGCACGCCCGGCTAATTTTTTTGTAATTTTAGTAGAGACGGGGTTTCACCGTGTTAGCCAGGATGTTCTCGATCTGCTGACCTCGTAATCCGCCCGTCTCGGCCTCCCATGGTGCTGGGATTACAGGCATGAGTCACCACGCCTGGCCGAAACCCCACTCTTTCATGTAAAAGAGGACATTGCCTTTATACTTAAAAAAAAAACTTGAAAAAATACTTGATTTAAAAATCATTGATTTTGGCTGAGCATGCTGACTCACACCTGTGTAATCCCAGTGCTTTGGAAAGTTAAAGCAGAAGGATCGCTTGAGGCCAGGAGTTTGAGACCAGCCTGGGCAACATAGCAAGGCTCTGTCTCTACAAAATGTAATAAAAATTAGCCAGGTGTGGTGGTGCACGCACCTGTAGCACTAGCTACTAGGGAGGCTGAGGTGGGAGGATAACTTGAGCTCAGGTTATAGTGACCTGTGATTGCACCATTGCACTCCAGCATGGGGGACAGAGCAACACTCTGTCTCTGTAAAAAAAAAAAATATATATATATATATAGAGAGAGAGGTTGCTCTTAGGCGCTGCTTTCAAAGGTGTGGATTATTGTTTTTGACTAAGTTTATCCATATGCAAACACATAAGAGGCCCGTCTAAATGATTTTAACACCAGATTGGAAATTCATGAAATGCTGTTTTGTATTGCTTTATATGATCCTGAACATATTAATAATCTTCACTATGCTTTGATTTTTTGTTTGCAAATTTATAGTGTTAAAATTGGTGATGATGAGGATCAGCATAAGTTAATGTTAAGACATGAAGACAATTACGGCCGGGCACAGTGGCTCACGCCTGTAATCCCAGCACTTTGGGAGGCCGAGACGGCGGATCACGAGGTCAGGAGATCGAGACCATCCTGGCTAACACGGTGAAACCCCGTCTCTACTAAAAATACAAAAATTAGCCGGGCATGGTGGCGGGCACCTGTAGTCCCAGCTACACGGGAGACAGAGGCAGGAGAATGGCGAACCCGGGAGGCAGAGCTTGCAGTGAGTGGAGATCGTGCCACTGCACTCCAGCCTGGGCGACAGAGCAAGACTCTGTCTCAAAAAAAAAAAAAAAAAAAGAAAAAAAAAGATATGAAGACAATTAGTTGTAATAAAGCAATTAAATGCTTTAATACATATTAACTACAAAAAATATTTATTTTTGCCATACTTCTCTTGCCCCCTTTTTGGAGTTTTGTCCAAATTATGGATTTACATTTAAACTTCTTTTTAAATGATCTTCATGTCTCTTTTTTCAGACCTACTTCATTCTTTCCAGTCTTGGATGCCTGTTAGACATCATCTGAATGACCCACTGTATTTTAGAATGCACTTTTGTTTGAGCTTATTATCTGTATCTTAAACTTTTTCTTCCCTTCATTGTTTCTGTTTCTTACAGTTGTTCTACCATACTTTTTCCCACTGTAACTAATCTAGTACAAATTTGTTAACTTCTGGTTTAGAAGATCTGCTTTTTATGCAGATTCTCAGTTTTTATTCCAATTCTCATTCATTTTCACACAATTCTGCTGGATTCCCTTTCCTGAAGTGTACCTGAATCAGTTGGCTGCTAAAATTTTTCTAGGGGTTTCCTAGTGCATACAGCAGTAATTCTCAAGGTGGAATGCAGATAGAATTTTCTGGAGGGCTTTTTTACACTACTGTGTACTCCCATAAGAATTAATCTTTTCTGCTCCTTTCCCATCTCCCACAGTTTAGAAACACTACTGGAGTGAGCCATATTTTTTATGTATATTATAACCCTAAAATGTGTCAGAGTGAAAAAAAACAGTGTTTGAGAATATGATTGCTCAAGCCTGTGCAGTCAGTTCCAGGCTCTTTAACCTAGCTGCATTCAAGGTTTTCCTAACCCTGTCTGTCTGTCTGTCTTTCTTTCTCTCTCTCTCTCTCTTTCTTTCTTTCTTTTTCTTTCTTTCTTTCTTTCTTTCTTTCTTTTTTTCTTTCTTTCTTCTCTTTCTTCTCTTCTTCTCTTTCTTCTCTCTCTTTCTCTCTCTCTTTCTTGCTTTTTCTTGCTTTCTTTCCTTTCTTTCCTTTCCTTCCCTTCCTTCCTTCCTTTCTTTCCTTTCTCTTCTCTCCTCTGCTTTCCTCTCCCCTCTCCTCTTCTCTTCTTTTCGCCTGCCTGCTTTCTTTCTTTCCTTCTTTCTTTCCTTCTTTCTCTCTTTTCTTTCTTTCAACAACAACAACAACAACTCACCAACAACAACAACAACAACAACAACTTTCTTTCTTTTTCTTCCTTCCTTCCTTCCTTCCTTCCTTCCTTCCTTCCTTCCTTCCTTCCTTCCTTCCTTCCTTCCTTCCTTTCTCCCTCCCTCCCTCCCTCCCTCCCTCCCTCCCTTCCTTCCTTCCTTCCTTCCTTCCTTCCTTTCTTCTCCTCCTTCCTTCCTTCCTTCCTTCCTTCCTTCCTTCGTTCTTTCTCTCTCTCTCTCTCTCTATTTTACCTTGTCTTTGTAACTTTAAGTATTCCTTTTTAGCAATCCATATTTCCCTTATTTTATTATTATATTCTTCTTGCAGTGCTCTCTTTCTGAAAATACTCTTTCCCTCAATCTCTTGCACTTCTTACTTCTATTCTTCAAGACTCGGCTTAGTATGATCTTCAGCATGAAACAGTTCCTGATTATCAGAACTGGATGTATTTTATCCTTTATATGAACTCTTTATATGACTACTCAACTATTTACATTTGGCACACTTCGTATTCTCTTTCATTTTTTTAAGATGTGCATTTTTCACATTTTTAAAACTCTAAAACAAGAATGTATCTTACAATTGATGTCATAGCTTAACTTGGCGTTATTCCCATCTTAGTGGTTCTCTCTCTCTCTCTCTCTATTTTACCTTGTCTTTGTAACTTTAAGTATTCCTTTTTAGCCGTCCCTTATTTCCTTATTTTATTATTGCTATTCTTCTTGCAGTGCTCTCTTTCTGAAAATACTCTTTCCCTCAATCTCTTGCACTTCTTACTTCTATTCTTCAAGACTCGGCTTAGTATGATCTTCAGCATGAAACAGTTCCTGATTATCAGAACTGGATGTATTTTATCCTTTATATGAACTCTTTATATGACTACTCCAACTATTTGCATTTTAGCTACTTCATATTCTCTTTCATTTTTTAAGATGTGCATTTTTTTCACATTTTAAAAACTCTAAAATTGGAATGTATCTTACAATTGATGTCATAGCTTAACTTGGCGTTATTCCCATCTTAGTGGTTCACAAAATGGTGTGTCATGTAACCAATGGCGCCTTAGTGAAGTATGAAGTATGGTATCATATCTCCCTTTCTGTGACTCTTAGGCCTAGCACTGGCATCTGATTCATTTGTGCGTGTTCCAAATTATCCAATACTGTTCCTTACACACAAATACAACACATGTATGTGTATTAATTAACCAGACTTAGCTCAGAACTGTCCTTGGTAGTGTAAGAAATAAAAAAAAAGTGGGGGATGGGGGCGGGAAATGTTAGTTTTCTGTAGTCCTCTGAGTAAACGAAACATATCCATTAGCCATTGTTTCCGAATAGGACAGTGTTAACATTTTGGAAAGGGTTCAATTATTTTTTGTGCGGGGCTGTTTTGTGCACTCCAGGGTGGAATATACTGACCTCTAGTTGCCATATGTTAGTGTCTTCCAGTCACTGAGAGAACAAAAACCTACACTACACGTTTCAAAATCCAGCTGTCATCTGACTTTAAATTCCTGCACCAGGAACTTTTAATATTTCTCTGATCATCTCATTTAAGATTCATCTCCTGGCTAGGCGTGGTGGCTCACGCCTGTAATCCCAGCACTTTGGGAGGCGAAGATGGGTGGATCACCTGAGGTCAGGAGCTCAAGACCAGCCTGGCCAATATGGTGAAACCCCGTCTCTACTAAAAATACAAAAATCAGCTGGGCGTGGTGGCGCATGCCTGTAATCCCAGCTATTCCGGAGGCTGAGGCAGGAGAATTGCTTGAACTTGGGAGGCAGAGGTTGCAGTGAGCCAATATCCCACCACCGCACTTCAGGCTGGGCGACAAGAGCGAGACTCTGTCTCAGGAAAAAAAAAAAAAGAATTAACTCCCGTCTATGGGCTTAAGAGTGTTC